CTTTTTTTTTTTTTGTGTGTGTGTAGTTGTAGATAGACAGCATGCCTTTATTTTATTTTTATGCAGTGCTAAGGATTGAACCCAGTGCCTCACACATTCTAGGCAATCTGCCATTGAGCTACAACCCCAGCCCCTGTATAACTAGTTTTGAATTGATATTAGATGAAATGTAACCTTTTAAGATGGTTAAGTAACAATGTGATTTTAGCGACTTTATACAGAAAGTAGAAAATGCATTTTGGTCGGACATGTTTGTAACTCTTTGATGAAATACCTTATTGTTACTTTAGAAACAATGAGTCTTAGATTGCTAAATTCTAGTTTTATCTCTCTCTCTCTATATGAACCAATGGACTGGGGATGTGGTTTAGTGGTAGAGTGCTTGCCTAGCAAGCATAAGGCTCTCGGCAAAAAGTTAAGAAAGAAAGAAAAAGTGGACTCAAGGGAAGAATTATTATTATTCATCTATTCATCCTAGCTTTACTAGTTTTACAAAACTTTAATTTCATTGTTTATGTATATATTTTACTGCACATAATTAATAATAGCATTACCACCTATTTAATCTGTTAGAGCTAGTACATTAATTTTGTTTATTTTTTTTCTTTTTTGTTTTGTTTTTGACTAGTACATTTAAATAATTCTAAACTTAAAGTCTCTTTTTTGTTTGTTTTTATTGTTTTTAACAAAAGAACATGTCAGTACTCGTTTCCAAATTTCTTAAGTGTTACTACAAAATTTTAAAGCTACATTAATGCTTTATTTTTTTAATATATTTTTTTAATGTGGTACTGAGGATCGAACCCAGTGCCTCACACATGCTAGGCAAGTGCTTACCACTGAGCTATACCACCATCCCTGATAGGTATTAAATGTATCTTATGATTTATTTTATTTTTTTAAAATTGGTTAATTAATTTATTTTATAGTAGAATGCATTTTGACATATTGTATACAAATGGAGCATAACTTCTCATTCCTCTGGCTGTACATGGTGTCTTATGATTTTTTTTAATTAATTTTTAAATATTTTTTCTTTCTTTTTCCCTTTTTTTTCCTGTCATAATATTCCTTCTTATGTGTATCAATTGACTGGGGATATAGCTCAGTTGATAGAGTGCTTGCCTTGCATGCACAAGGCCCTAGATTCAATCCCTGGCACCAAAAAAAGAAAAGAAAAAAAAAAAAAAGATATATCAAAACTCATACTGATTGAGGTAACTCATACTTGTAATCCCAGTTACTCAGGTGATAGCAGGAGGATCTCAAATTCAAGGCTCACTTGGCAACTTATCAAGTTGCTACTCAAAAATAAAAAGAAGGGCTATGGTTGTGGCTCAGTGGTGAAGTGCTATGCCTTGCACATGTGAGGCACTGGGTTAGATCCTCAGCACCACTTAAAAATAAATAAACAAAATAAAGATATTTTTTCCATGTATAAAGAAAAAATATTATAAATAAATAAAAAGAATGGGATCTAGCTCAGAGGTAGAATACTTCTGGTTAAATTCCCCTTACTGGGGGGGAAAAAGACATTAAGTCTTTTACACATTTTTTCCTATTTTGCAGTTTTCTTTTCTTTTAAAAACATGCGTTTTTTCGAACTAATATTCTTTTTTTTTTTTTTTTAACTAGAGGCATCAATCTTTAATAACTTACAGGCAAATGCTAAAAAATAGTTAATAATAATACAGAGAACACACATGGCTTATAAAAAGGRTTGTGGGTCTACAAATGTGAGGGAGAGATCTTGGTATTTTCACACAGACACAAAAAATAAARACTATTATGACTGGCTCGTACTAATATTCTTTATCTAGAATATTTGATCAAGAGGTAAACGGTTTACTTTTTTTTTCAAATTATGCTAAATAGACTCTACGGTAAAAACTCCATAAATTAGACAGCATAATAAAATTTGTGTAAATGTAAAAAGATAGCTATTGCCTATCAAAACGTGGAACCTTTCATTTAAAAAAAACAACAGATCTGAGGATGTGGCTCAATGGTCCAGCACTTGCCTAGCATGCACCAGGACCTGGATTCCATCCCCAGCAATGGAAAACAACAACAACAACAACAAAAAAAAAAAACTCTTCATTGTCTTAACTTCCTTTCTTCTTTGTCTCTTGTACTTTGTTTTTCTAACCAGGATAAATTCATGAGATAAGAAAAAGATGGCATCTAGAATAAATACCAGTTTCACTTTGATTCCCAATCAGAAATATAGACGTAGTAATCGTCGATCCAGCTATTTTTCCAACACCCTTGATTCAGATTCTCAGCCCTTATCAACGCTTGGAAATTTTAAAGCCTTGCCATTGGAAATATTCCAAATAATCTTAAGATATTTGTCAGGTGAGGATTGATTACTATGAGTAGACTACATAAAACACTAGAATATTTTAATTTTTCCTAAGAACTAGTTTATCATCTCAGGCTCTGCTAAAATGTTAATAGCATTCATATTAAGTTTGTTTTCAAAATTTAATCAGTGTTAGGTCCTTAGGGATAGAATGAGAAAGCTCAGTGCTCCAACTCTTTAAAGCATACCTCTAACTTAATAATGTAGTAGGTTGATTGTTATATCTCAACAAGTTTATAATCATTGAAAACTGGATTTAAAACAATTTTAAGATATTTTCTTGTAGGTTTATTATTTTTATTATTTAGTTAACTTATAAGTTAATAGACTGTACTGAGTGATGTTATTGTATTTAAGCCATTTATACATAAATATATATATATATATATATATATATTTCTTTTGGTAGTGAAGGATGTCAGCATGCTAAGTATGGTGTCTAAAACAGTCAGCCAGCACATTATTAATTATATTTCGACTGCATCAGGAAGCAAAAGACTTTTACTACAGGACTTTCATAACCTTGAGCTGCCTGGTAGGAAACAAGACTCTGCTATACTGGAGCACTACAGATCTCTAGGTAATTTAAGAAATGAAAATTGCAACAAGTAAAGAATTAAACAATAAGATGATTTTATTATATACTTCTATAACGCTAGTGGGATATGGAATATTTCCTGAAATGTACCTAATAATATGGTGTTTTTAACTCTTCAATATAAGGACTTTCCTTTAACAGTCCTTACATTTATCTTTAAAGATAAGAAAATGTACTTTAATGTAAAGTGTCAGTCCTTGTGATTTCATGTGGATACAATATCACCTATGCTTATTGTGTAGGTGGTTTACCAGTTTAGGAACTTGATATGTTTTCTATGCTTTACTTCCTGAGGATCCTTGCACCTCTTTTCCATTTCTATTATAATATAGTCCTTAAAAATATAAATGTAAGCACATCATTTTGAGAGGTCACTTATTCTCTTAATCAGAACTATGTTTTCTTTTTCCTTTTTAAGCACTCTGCACATTTACTAATAAATCATTATTCTATAATGAAACTGATCTTGTCAAAGGAAATTGTATATAGTCTTTCTTCACTTGATATCTAATCATTTTTAAAAATTTTTTAGTTGTAGATGGGCACAATACCTTTATTAATACCTTTATTTCTATTTATTTTTATGTGGTGCTAAGGATCAAACCCAGTGCCTAACACATGCTAGGCAAGTGCTCTACCACTGAGCTACCACCCCAGTCCATATAACCATTTTTATATTTTACCCCATTCATTTATTTCATGCTCCCTAGAGTGCTAAAATAAAATCCTAATTCTGACTTGACTACTGATACCTATTTAACTCTGAAACTACTTTAGAATCAACGAAAGCATGACAATGTTGAGATTTAAATAAAGGCATAATAATAATAATAAGTTGAGCAAATGTTGCCTTTTAGTAGTCCAAGGATGCCTACTTTAAGATAATAAAAGAAGACTATATAGGTATGTAAATACATCAAAGTATATTTGATGAGTATATTTAATAAGACCAAATGAAAGGTATACAATATGAATACAATATTGTTGGTTTCAGTATTTATGACTCAGTTTAGTAAATCCTGTAACTGAATAACGGCAATTACGTTTTGCCTCTTATCATTGTAAATATATGTATATTTTTTCAAACATTATTAGTTGAATAATAGAGCTTGTCCTTTGGTTTCAGTCAGAATTTGTTTTTTCCGGATCAAGTCTCAGTTGTTTAAGCAAATGAGCAAAGTATTAAGACAATTGCATGAAAATTATAAGGGCCTAGGGATGTAGCTCAGTAATAAGTGCTTACATAGTATGGATAAGACCCTGGCTTCCATCCYGAGCACAGCAAAAAAGAAAAAGAAAATTATATGGATCATTGYTCTTAAAAATACAAATATGTATTGTGTTGTGGGGGTAGGTATTGGGAATTTAATCCAGCATTTTATCACTGTGCTAAGTTGGTTAGGGCCTTGCAAAATTGCTAAGGCTAGCCTTGAACTGGTGATCCTCCTGCCTCAGCCTCAGTCACTGGAATTATAGGATGGGCTACTGCACCCAGTTTGTATTGATCATAATAGGTTTTTTTTTTTTTTCTAGAGAGAGAGAGAGAGAGAATTTTTTAATAATTATATTTTAGTTTTCGGTGGACTCAACATCTTTATTTTTATGTGGTGCTGAGGATCGAACCCAGCACCCCATGCATGCCAGGCGARCGCACTACCACTTGAGCCACATCCCCAGCCCCTAGTTGTTTTTTTAATGGTTTCATTCATATAATGTTTCAGGATTCCATTTAATTTTGATGCAGATATCTAGTTTATGATTGATTCTTTAGGTAAATGTTTGATGTACACACCGTTTTCTCACATTTCCTTCCTATCTGATCTGTTCTTATTTTCGGACATTAAAATAACATTTTCAGAATCCTGTACTTTTGAAAATTATAAACTTTTTAAATAGTCCTTTCTTTTTTATTTATTTATTTTCAGTTATAGATAGACACAATACCTTTATTTTATTGATTTATTTTTATGTGGTGCTGAAGATCAAACCCAGTGCCTCATACGTGCAAGACAAGCACTCTACCACTGAGCTACAACCCCAGACCTGGAGATTATAAATTTTAATTTGCTTTTTTTTTCCCCACACAAAGAGAGCAAGATTGCCAATGTGGAAAAAACATTACATCTGACTATTTTAATGGGAAAAACTTAGAGAAGTTGGTCTTGAAACAATATAGCAGAGAACCTGTGGTTTACAAAAAATCATCCAATAATGGGTTTTATGGTAAATTACAACCCATAAAAATAGGAGTTTTACCTGGGCATAGTGGGCACACATGTAATCCCAGCCACCTAGGAGGCTGAGGCAGGAGGATTGTGAGTTCAAAGCTAGCCTCAGCAAAAAGCGAGGCACTAAGCAACTCTGTGAGACCATGTCTCTAAACAAAATACAAAAAATAGGGCTGGGGATATGGCTCAGTGATCAAGTGCCCCAGTATCAAAAAAAAAAAAAAGGAGTTTTACATTAGAAAAGGCAACCAGCATACAATTAGAACTTACAGTTTCTCTGCTATGATATTGCATGAGACCAAATGCTAAAAAGGAAAGGAAAAGATCTCAACCTAAAATAAAACTCTGAAAATGTCTTTTTTGTATATAAAATGTCTTTTTTGTATATAAAAATGAGGCTAGGAGCTGGGGGTATAAATTGCTTTGCAAGTGCGTGGCTCTGTGTTCAGTCCCTGGCACTGGGGAAAAAAGGGCATGTATATTTAAAACTCAGTTCTGCTCATATGTTACCCAAACACAGCAACTTCCAAAAATAAATTAGATTCCTATAGATTCTTCAGAATTATATAATTATTATATTATAGAAAATAGTAAATGCAGAGGAGATAAAATTTGAAGAAAGTAAAAAAAAATTGAAGAAAGTCATGAAATTTAGGTATATATTTTTCTACCATGTATCTTATTTTTCAGTTTGAGGACATTTGACCTCACAAGAATGTTAACAGTATCTTGCCATTTTAGGAAAAAAGAATACTTAGGCAAAATAAATCATATACTTCATGTCACTGTAGTTCAAGTCACAT